ACTAAAGTGAAGATTACATCCAAGATTCAGGGAGGTCAAAACCCTTGAAAGTTGGGTGCAAATAAATAGGGAAATAAAATTATCGGGCGTAATATTGGAGATTTTAGAGTGAAAGACTAAAATCCCCAATTCAGTCCAATCGTTTGGGTGCTGAAGTGTAGATGTTAGCCCTCAGGCGAGGGGAACATTGAAGCTCCGAAGTGAGAGCCGATATCCTCCCAGCCTAGCTGCAGATTCAGTAAAGAAGCGTAGGATTAATCAATGTTTTTTATGTCTATACCAAAAGGTAAAGAATATGTATGCTCCTATTTGACACAATACAATTTGAACTAATTCACGTTATCCATTCACTATAATTTCTTGATAAGGAGAAGGACGCTTTCTTATATATTGAATATCACATTCAAACCTTCATTAGTATATTTAGTTGTTTAATAGTTATTAAAATTATATATTTATTTCAATTGCCTATTAGTGACAGATAAGCAAATTGAATTCCATTATTGTGATTAAAGTATTGTTTTTCTAAAGTCTTAGTTCGTAGTTCTAATATTACTCCATGTGGGATCGATATCTAGAACTCCATTAGAGCCATATATTACTTGAGCGATACGTATACTTGCGTTGATAAGTGTGACTTTACAATTATTGAATATTTTATACATACATCTTTACCGAATCTATAACTGTTATTAAGTTTTTGGTGCAATTGCAATTAAATCTTTTAGCAGCAGTACTAAATACTTATATTTTTACGCATATATAAAATCGCTGTCATTTATCAACTTGTATATAAATTTTATCCTAAAGACTTCATAGATACAAATAAGCTAACTTAAAATTTCAATTAAAGCATTTTCAAATTGAAGCTCATTAAATCAATTTTTTAATAATCTCTCAACAATTTCAAATTTAAGTCAAATGTTGATTAAGTTAAGAAAATTAGTCATATATCTTCTTATTGATCATTTGATTAGCTTGATCTTGACACTACATTTTCAACAACAACTGAACGTGCGTTTTTCAGCAATGAAAATTATCAAGGCAAAGTTACACAGTAAAAAAAGAATGATTTTCATGCGAATTTCCTGATAACAAATATTGAAAAGAATATTATGATGAGTTTTAACATAAATTCGATGATTGATGATTTCAATGCAATAAAGAAACGATTGACACAATTCAAGATGCCAATTCATAATAACTAGAATAAAAGAAATATATTTTTACTTTATAAATTAGTTTTCTTAAATTTTTTAATTTAGTTATTTATTTATTTTTTATAAATTAATCTTAATTTACTTTTAATCCTTCCCCCACACCTCACCCTTTCTTCAAATTTCATTCTGTCACTAACTAGACCAATATCACCTTTCTATGGATAATTGTTTGATCTTGATTGGTTGAGCACCATTTTCTAACAACAATCACTAAATAATTATTGTATAATTAAAGTCACTTTATATCAATGCTTGAATATTTTCATCTGGCTTCTAGCACTCTTCTACATTTTTATAAAAAATGTCGTTCATCTATGATCGTCTGACTAAGATTGTTTGACCACCATTGCTCAATTAAGAATATCAAATCATTGAAGCTTGATTTTGATCATCAGACTTTTGTCTCTTCACCACCATCATCTAATTATGATTTCTTAATCACCGTCATTTACTATGGTTTCATGTTTATGATAACCATACTTCTATCATCCATTTAGAGTCATTTGACATCATCATCCAATAAAAGCAATTTGACTATTTGTGACCACTAAAGCTAGCCAATTTTATTGCCCTTGAGCATCACTTATAAGATTAATGCACACTGTCGATGCAAGCAATTACTTTTAAGCCCGATGCACATCATTTACATATTTCACAGCTTATAATGTCAATACATCATCAACACTATAATACAATATTTTGAATTACAAATAAAGCTTATGCATACCATTCACATTAAAATTATACTAGTCTTCTTGTTCAACCCCTCTTCTTAAATTCGATCCATCAAATGCTTTATAATACCATCTCTTCAATTCAACTTCAATACCTCCAACATTCTCCAACTTCCACCACAAAATCTATTCCCCATGATTCATGTATATTACATTCTATTAACATCTCCCCCCAATTATAGTGAAGGACATTATGTTGTAATTATATTTTAATTCGGCCAAGTGTTGTTTCATTTTCCTTACCATATGTTCCTAATAAAAAACTCTAGCATCTTCTATGAAACCATTCTTCTATTTGCATATGTTTGTGTACTAGATCTTCATAGAAGGCAAAGACATTATTAGACTTTCACCTTAATATATTAGCCGCTTGATATGACCAATTAAAATGAATGACTACTTATGACAAATTGAGATATTCAACAAATTTAAAAACTCCATAATATAAAAGCTTATCTTGAAATGATCCATTGCGTACGTGGAGACACTGCCATATTACCTGGTGCTTGGCGTATGCTTTGGGAATATTGTTTATATATATACCACCCAATTCTTATGTATTTACATATCTATCATCTAAAATTTCATTTTTTTACATTTATACCACACAAATATTCCATATTACATCAAAAAAATCACAATTTTAGCTTTTAATTACATAAAGTACACACCTTTTCGAATTCATGCATAGGCTAGGTGGCATTTGCATAAAAATTGAATTTTTGGTGATAAATGTGTAAATCTATCAATTTTGTTCCTAACCCTCACTAGAGGTGATTTGGCTCAAGATGAAGGGCATTTTGGGACCCCATCTTCTTATATGCTTCTCCTCCCAATCCCCCTTTCCAAGAGAGAGAAAAAAAGTCTAGCTTTAGAGAGAGAATTTCAGGAAGAGAGAAACCATGGCTATGGCTTTCAAGATGGTAGGCTTCCTCCCTCATCCAACATACATCATCATCTTATCATTCATCATTCAATTACATATGTTGTTGCAGGCCACCGAGGGCATGAGTGTCAGAGAGGAATGCTGCAAATCATTCATGGAGATGAAGTGGAAGAGGGTGCACCGTTACATCGTCTTTAAGATTGATGAGAGCACGAAGGCTATCATGGTCGACAAACTCGGCGGAGCCGCCGAGTGCTACGATGATCTCGCCGCCTCTCTCCCCGCCGATGATTGTCGCTACGCTGTCTTCGACTTCGACTACGTCTCCGCCGACAATTGCCAGAAGAGCAGAATGTTTTTCATTGCATGGTAACTTTTCTTTCCTTATTTCATATAATTTTTGAATGATCAATTTAATTATATAACCTTTTTATTAGGTCTATTTACATGAATATATAAATAATTCAGAATTTGATGGAAGTGAAAAATATGATTTAATTTTAAATAAATTTTAATTTTTAATACAAGAATTTATATTAAATATTATAAATAATTAAAATATAAAAGAAATGCATGAAATTGCATCTATCTTCTGAACTATATATGGCAGATTTAATAATTGTTGAATGTTATTACACTGCAATTTGTCACTGCATCAATTAAATGCAGAAAATGTAAATCACAAAAGTTCAAATATTTAGGATGAAAAAAACAAAATATAATCGCCCTCCATTTTGTCTAATTGTAATTTAATTAATATTTATCTTCTAAAAAATCAAATTAAGCATGCTGACCATAAGCTTCCAAAATCCATCAATTCATTTTTTTTTTTAATTACACAACCGACTTATCATTATTGAGAAACGTCGAAGGTTATTCAGAGGGTACAGACGAGTTATATTTGGGTTATACCCTCCTGTAACTTCTCTGTAACTTACATGTAATCACTGGAACTACAGAAGTGTGGAACTTATTTGTAGATTACAGATATGATACAAGTAGGTTACAGAGAGGTTAAAGGGAGTATAACACGAATATAACTCCCTTATACCCTCTGAATAACCTCTTGGCGTACACAAATATTTTCCCATTATTGAAGCCTCGTGCACATTCTCCTATTTAAAAAAAATAAAAATATAAAGGGCATTTACATATACCAATCTTATGTATTTAACACTAACTTTACTTTTTATATTTATACTACCCAAAATTAGTGATTATAGGACTTCTTAAATCAAAATCTTCATTAAGCCAACTCATAAGACTATTGATTATCTTCCAATAACATCTCAAAACTATAATATATTATCATAATAAAATTTAATAGATGTGTTCATATTACATTATATATTAATATTATCATAATATAATCGACTATTTATTATTACAAATTAAATCATGCTTAGATCTTATGGTGACCAATAATTTTATTATTTAAAGATAAAGTTGAAATTTAATATAAAAAAAGTTAATATTTAATTAAAATAAAACATGAACCTCTTTCTTACCATTACTTTTAGGATAAATTCTAATGGAATTTATGCCTTCTTTATTGGCAAAGATTTGGCATTCTAACAAACATAGATATTTTATAAAGATAAGTTCCAAGAAGCAACCACTTTATCTATTATTATACTACACACACACACTATTAGGGGTGTAAAGGAGCCGAACACGAGCGAGCCCAGGCCTAGCTCGTGTTCGGCTGGTTTATATTTCAAGCTCAAAAGATGTGTTCGTGTTTGACTCGTTTACTTAGCAAGCCGAACAAGAGCCGATCACAAACAACCCAACCCAAAAAAAGAGTCATTTTAACAATCCTAATCACGTAGCCATAAGATGTTAAGGGTTGGGGCAAGGTTTAAAACATCATTTGAATCGAATTTAGTTTGAATCTAATTTAATAAATTTTATTCTACTTTCTTAATTAATACTTTTAATTGATTATTTATCTTTGTAGCCCTGTAATCAATTAATTTTTTAAAAAATACTACTCATCAAAGATATATATATATAAATGTTTTGTAATCAATGTTTAGCCTTTTAATATTTTTCTTAATAAGACAATATATATATATATATATATATATGTATCATATCATATAAGACTCAACATATTAGTAAAACTAATGATATAACCATAGTAATAACAAATATATGTTGATAATGTAGGTTTAATACCTAAAATAATTATTATTCGTGCTTCTTCACGTAATTTAATTATTAATATATGTATTTATATATTAGGTCTCCAGCAGCATCAAGGATTAGGGCTAAAATACTGTATGCAACATCAAAGCAAGGATTGAGGAGACTGCTTGATGGGGTCCACTATGAAGTTCAAGCCACTGATCCTACTGAGATGGGATTTGATGTCATTAAGCAAAGAGCTTGCTGATGTTAAGCCCAAATTAATTAAGGCAAAAAACCTGTTTTATGTTAATAAACCATGATTAGCTATCCTAATGACCATCTTAAGAACAGCTTGTGATGTTAAGGCTACTGTGTTTAGTAATTAATAGTAGTTTGTCTCTCAAGTAGAAGGGAAGAAAGTGGAGAGGAGCTGATTAGACTTTCGGCCGCTCTATTTCTTTTTTATATTTTTATTTAATGTGCTTAAATTGCTTCCCTTTCTTATTTTTGAAAAAAAAAAAACTCTTTTTTAAGAGAAATAAATTGATAAAAAATAAATGAGCCGAGTTATGAGTCAGAATTTTGGATTGAATTATTTTAGAGCCAATTTCGAGTTATACGTGAATTGACTAGAATTGACTCCAGATCGCCTCATAGTATTTTTTTGTTATTTATAAACATTATATATATATATATGATGCTATGTCAATTTGAGCTGATTTCAAGCTTAGATGGACCCAAATAACTAAATTTGAACAATTAACTTCAATTTTGAGCTGAATTGGACGCAAATAACTCGATTTGAGCTAGTTAGTGTCGATTTTGAGCCGGACACAGCTCGAGTAGGTTTCAAGCTGACTAGGTTCTAAATCAAATATAACGAGCCGCGAGCCGGTTTCAAGCCGCACTAAATCTATTTGAGTCATTTTCGAGGCTCGAAATCAAATCATTAACAACCCTGCTAATATATTGGATAAATGAGGTTCCTTATATAATAAGGTAAGTTAAAATTAAATTTTTTAAAAGGATATATTGAAGGAGATAGAAATAAATTTTTGTGATTTACACGCATTCCACACAATTTTTTTCTCAAGCTTAGGATGTGGGATATGCAAATATGTAAGAGTTGATGGGTATGTATGTAAATTTTCCTAAAGTTTTGGGTTTATTTGTGAATCATAATTAAAAGCTTAGAAAGTCCTAGGAATTTTTTTCTTTGACTTTATAATTAATTACTTTGAATTATAAAATAATTATATATTTATAATTTTTTATAGTTTGTTTTTTTGTAAATCCCTAAAAATAATTAAATATATCAAGATGGGGAAAAATGCAACATTTGGCATTTGCCGGCTTCTCTAACTTAAGTTGATGGTAAATTTGCAAATATTAGAAATTACATGAGTTTTCATTAATAATTAGTTCTTTCTTTCAAGGGGTGTTTATATGAATTATTTTGTTAGGAGGAAGGTCAAGGAGGTAAGTTGACCCCAACAAATTAATAATAATAAAATATGTTAATTGATAGTGATTATCACTAATCTTATATTAGAAGATTATTTAAATGAGGTTGAAAGCACAAATTAAAGATTAAGCCAGAAAGAGTAATATGGAAGCTGAAGAAATTTTTAATTTTTCAAATTATCTTTTTGTTAGTTTGCTAATTATTATTATTATTTTTTTGTATATGTTTTCAACAGACTATTATATTTAATGCTCTTCTATTTATAAGGAATTCTGATAGTTGTGAAATGACAATTACAGCCTTAACTGTTTTTTAATCAGTCGATCCTCAATCAATAAGCTTCATGTCATGCAATTGAAGAATATCCGACAGGTCGTCTTTTTGTCAATTGTCTTCTACCTGAGCGGTCTCCGAGTCGATTGATCTCTGGTTCGGCCAGCCTCTGGGTCAGTTGCTCTTAGTTTGTCGCTCAATCTATTTGTTCATTCTCGTAGAGCTATCTAGTGGCGTGGGGTCCGCTCAGTGCCATTCAATCCACAAAAGATTCATTCGAGGGTATTTTTATTCCACAGAAAGATAGCATACAAATACAAGGTCTAGATAGAGCAGTGTTTATAAATTTTTTTTTTAATTAAGGAAAAATTGATCATATGCTCGAAAAGAATGTCAATGGCAATGATAGAATGTTTGAAATGATAACATAATATTGATAATCTTGTTTGTTAGGAATACAAAAAAGGATGAGATATATTTGATGGGATTATCCCAACTACAAAGTAGAAAACAAAGAAAGAAAGAGAATATTAAAGGAAGAAACCTTTCAAGATTAACTTGGACTTAGAATTATTGGTTAGTATAGTTGAAAATGAAGTGAGTAACATATGGTTAATGGCTAGAGATGACAATGACATAAAAAATGCTTATGAGAATGAATTTATTTGTTAATAATCAAAAAAATGTTAGAAGAAATGCCTTAAAAGTTTTATGATTTACAAAAAAAATATGTTACCCAAGAGTTTACTACGTACCAATTGAAATTGCATGTGAAATGTCTTATGATATTATTATGGTAAATTGAAATATATTTAAAATAATTTTAACCTTGAAAAGTAAAAAAAAAACACCTTCCATTCATTCATAAATAAGGTAACATATGTAAAAATTGAATACTAGAGGTTAACTATGTAAATATATAGGAATTAAGTGTATGCATGTAAATCTTCCTAAGAAAAATAGAAAATAGGGGGCATGTTGTAAAATAAATTTAAAATGTGTGAGATCCTTCAAACAAATAGCTGACGTGGGGCACTGGTGGACCATCAATTAATAAAGCTTGAATTGTCGGTTGGCGCAAGATTCCCAACAGTTTGCCAGTCATTCAGAGATCTAAATGACCAAAATACCCTTCCAATCATTTAAAAGAAACATTATTCCATCTCCGCATCAAAGCTTTTATTAATTTTTTTTTCTTAAATGGATCCACCGAAATATAACTTTGATTTGATAAACGGACGATACATGCATCTCTGTATACGCCGTCCGTACGAAATAATTTCTCCATTTAAAACAAGTATTCCTATAATTTATGAAAAACATCTGTCACTTTTATTTTATTTTATTATTTTTTTTTGAGAAAGAAATTGTTTTATTAATTTTATACTTATTAAATATGAAATTTAATTACTTGTATTTATCCTTGATCTAAAGAAAAATGTCATGAGATATCTTGAATATATGAAATTATACTTTTATTGTCATTTATTTTAAGTGAAACTAAAATTATAATTTTTTTTTTTGAAGATATTTAAGAGTTAAATTTTACACTATTTTTATGCTTATGATAATTTAGTAAATAACTTTTTAAGAAACATATTTTCTAAATTCAATCAAGCAAATGAGACATGAATGAAAACAATCAAGAATATATAACTTTAGAGATAAATTTACAAAGCTAATTTATGCATGCCTAAAAAAATAAATAAATAATTTTTTTTTTTAAACAAAGATTCCCATCTTTAGGATAATTTTATTTTTTAGATCTTATAACACATTAAACCTAAATAAATGTAGTTATGATTAAATTAAATTAATTTTTTTTTTAATTTTTGAAAGATTTAAATACATGTCACATAATTACTATGCATTTATCTTACACAAAAAGATACTCATGCTAATATCACTTTGTCCATGAAAAAGGTAAAATTTTGGTTCTAGAATTTTAGAAAGTCAGTGATTTTGATGTGAAAAATTTGAGTTGAAAATTTAAATAAAAGTTTAGGTGCTAGATAGTTAAATTCATAATAATTTTCCCATTGCACATAGGGGTGTGAACGAGCCGAACACGAGGTGAGTCTGCGGCTTGTTTATATTTCTACCCCAAAAAACGTGTTCGTGTTCGACTCGTTTACTTAACGAGCCAAACACGAGCCGTTCACGAACAAAGAGTCTTTTTGACAACACTAATCACGTAGTCATAAGATTGGGGCAAAATTTATTAAAACATCATTTGAATCTAATCTAATAATTTTTATTATAATTTCTTAATTAATACTTTTAATTGATTATAAATCTTTATAGCCTTGTAGTCAATTAAAATTTTTAAAAATAATACTCATTAAAGATATATATAAAATTGATTACTAATATTTCAAGCCAAAACGAGCCGAACCCGAACGAACAAATATTTGTTCTTGTTGTTCATGTTCGGCTCGTTAACTTAACGAACGAGCCGAATATGAGCTTCTTAACAAGCCTAACACAAGCTATTTGCGAAAAACGAGTCTTTTTGACAGCCCTAATTGCAGATCATCTTGGGGCTCTAAAAACCTTGATTTTGCATTTAGTTAGGGGCCGTTTGAGCCTACTTTTGATTTTTATCTCATTTATTTTATTTGTATTTATATTTAATTTGAAATAAAATATATTTTATATCAAGACATATTTAGTTATTTTTCAAAACACTTAAATCCTTTAAAAATTATATTGAATATTTAAAAAAAAAATATATTTTTTTAAATAACAATATGCCCCAATTTTAAAATATAGGACTTCAAAGTAAATTTTTATATGAAATGCCAAAAAGAAAATGCAAAAAAACATCATAAAACAAATATGAGTACAATGCACAATCTAATTATTCCCTTACTACAAGCTAAAACTAAAATCAAGGCAAAATATAAGTCCAAATAAATAAATAAATAAATAAATGAAAATATTATTAAAATTTTATTTCTTCCAAATGACAAATAACTCTTAGAACATGCGCTTGAATTAAGCTGAATAAACATATTCTTTATTAAGTATGATTAAGATTAACAATGCATATTAAGTTGAATTAATCACTGAATCAATAATAAATTTTCTCCCAAAAACATAATGTGAGGAATTATAGCTGTAGAGCTCAAATCTCCAACTCTTCTCCTATCCACATGTTTAAGACACCATTGAAGCACCCCCTTCATTCTAAATTCACACAAAAAATAGGACTAAAGTGAGAAATTGACCACATAAAAGATGAACTTTGATGAAAATAGCAAAAGCTAAAGCATAAGTGATTATTTAAAATTGGCTCCTTGAATCCTCATTATCTATGTGTTTGGATTAAGTGCTGCCTAATAAGCTAAACATAATATTTAGAAATCATTTTAAACTTTTACACATCTGCTATATCTTAAGTCCATTCATTTTTTTTACTTAATGCTCTGACAATAATTTTTATTTACACATTTAATCGGTGTATTTTCTATTTTTTCGGCATGTAAGTCTAAACATTTTAAATTTATTTTCAATAGATAACAACTATAATCTTTCCTTTTTGTTTTTGACTCAAATTATTTCTACAATATAATTATTCACTAATATATCCTTCTAAATTTTGTTTTATGATACATTTGGGGCAGCTTGTGCATTTTCAGATAAACCGTTTATCTGGAAACGCGAATCGCGGGGTTCGACCCGCGTTCTGCATTTAGTATAAAAAACCAACGTGTTTTCGGATAAACTACTCAAAAGCAGTTTCCAAACGATAAGGCGCCGTTTTCTAGATAAGCTGCCCCAAACGGAGCCTCAGTATCCTCTTTTTTATAACACTCAATATTGCTTACTGTCAACACACAAATCCATACATTACATTTCCATATACTTTAAAAATGCAATGAGATTTAATATAAGCCTATGTTTAAGGTGGAAATACTGTTAAACGTTGAGATGGTTGAGGCAGAGAGAATGATGATAAGGCAAAAGATTGAACCGACAGATTTTCATAGTATTAAATTATTAATTGGGATGCCATTTCTGGAATTTTCACAGCAGCAGAGAGTTGAATGGCCACAAAAAGAAGATGAAACGTTGGTTTTAGATACAGACTCGGTCCTCTAAACTCCATCATATACAAGAAAAAATAAAAAAAAGGACTCGACATGCAGAAAAGTTTGCACGGATCATATCCATGCAACACATATGAGCCATGTATGGCGGGAGGATCTCTTCGCAGCACCTGCAAAAAATCTTAGCTTTTAATCATTACTTGTTCTCCCCTTTTTTTTTTTTTTTTTTTTTTGTTTAGGCATGGTTCCCTGCAAGAAGACCGCCTTTAATATACTTTTGCGCATGTCTTAAACTCAGTATACACACAGAAGCATCACACAAAAAGATGCCTGACCAGGACAACTAATCCAATAGGCCTATAGCCATACATCAAAAATATTACCTAACATCCTAGCTTTGTCCTAGCACTCCATCTAACAAAAGTGTTCTAACCAGCATCTAAGTGCATAAACAGAGATAAAGGCTACCTGTATGCTTACACGGAGTCGCTGATTCCGACCCAATCTTAAAGATACAAGAGATCTATATTTGCCACAGAAAAGAATTTTGAAAGATTTGGCCTTGCATAACTTTTGTTTGAAAATAAAGCGGTTTATTAAATGTGAACTCGCACATGCAATGTGACATATGTTAGATTCCTTGGAACTGTAGCAAAATCATACTTGTGTTGATCTTGATGCAATAACTCACAATGCTCACTGAAATTTACCCGACAAACAATACTAATTAAAGTATCACAATTAACACACGGGTCACTCACCTAACGAGTCTATTTTGCTATGAATACACACATGGGGATGCTCATGCAATCATGCAACATGATACACTCAAGTGGGTATACATTGTGCATTCAATGAATTCAGGGGATTTAGGGTCTGTTTGGGGCAGCTGTAGCTTCTCAGCTTTCCAGCTGTAGCTGCGCTGCCCTAGAAAGCTGCTGCGGGGAAGCTGGTTGTCTGTTTTTTGCAGTTGTGTAACAATAGCTGTGGGGCAACTGTTTATAGAAAAATGACAATTCTGCCCCTATTAAAATACTTCATGAGATTTTCTTGTTAGTTAGCACGACATCTGAATCAAATCGTTTAAGCTGATTTAAAATTTATAAAAAAAATATTATAGAAATACAAGTTTTTATATGTCATTGTAAAAAATTCTTCTCAATAAATATCATACCACCAAACAAGCTCTAATCTCTCCATACAAACCTCAAACCTCAAACTTGCAGAAACGCAGAAACCAACACTCAAATATAAAATTCCTTCATCAATTTCTAACATAAATATGGATAGCGAAAGGGTCGGATCCAATTACATTGCTACCTCTCCATACCTCATAAACACAAGGGGCATCCTCGATGCTTGCAGCCCCTAGTAGTGAACATCGAAGCAGAAGTAAGCAGGCGGTCGTGCATTCTGTCGGCCTCTCCCTATCAAGAAACTGCGAGAGACTGGGGAGCGCGGGATGGAGCTGCTTCGGGGACGCTAGGGTAGATGAGGCTAGTTCGTGCATTCGCGGGATGGAGCTTCTTCGGTGACGATAGGTCGTGCATTCGCGGGATGGAGCTGCTTCGGGGACGCTAGGGAAGAAGAGTTCAATCGCGAGAGATTGGTGAGCGCAAAGCAAAAGCGGTAAAAGCTGATCAATAACGAGGGCCGCGGGGTTGATCCCACGGCCTGCATTTCGTCTATTTTAGCGGCGGTCAGCCGCGAACAATGCTTCCAAACAATAAATTCTATATCGGCTTCGCGAAATATGCGGCCCCAAACGGAGCCTTAAAGCATAACCTAAATTGAGCACACAATATGGGTTGCTTATGGCATTCAAGGGGGATGCCATAAGAGATGAGGCGGCATGCTCTCCATTTAGGTAGTTCAAACACTGATGGGCTAGCCTTACTAGCCACCACTCATCCAAGACTTGCAAGTATTGAGCCAGACACATATGGTGGCATATGTGTGCAGTAGTATCATAGCTGTTGGTGTTCAAGGAGACACCAGATTGAAACATATGCCAAACGCAAATTTGATTTTCATGCGATAATATTTAACATATCACACAACATTCAAAAATTCATTTTTATGCACACTAGCATGAATCCAAATAATTTAACATGACCATGCAAGTGAGGCAAAAGCAAGTGCAAGCAGTGCGACATGCAATTGATTGGTCAATCAGACCTTGGTGACCAATCGAACCAAAAGTAATTGGCCGAATTATAGCTTTATGATTGGGCTTGGTGGCCTGCAAACTTCTGTGAAGGAGATCCACCAGATTTCTGATCGTCAACACTTTTCTGGTCAAGAGATGGACAATATCTTGCTATATGACTAGACTAACGACATCAATAACAAGTGTTAGAGCATATCAAGCATTCTCCCTTATGTTGTCTTCTGCATTTGGTACAAGTGATTCCAGTACCTTGAGTCGTACCTCTACTAACTCTGCCCGAATTATTTTTAAACTTCTTCTCATTGGATCATTCTAAGTAATCTACATGTCCTGCAGTCTTCCTCTTGTGCATCTCCTTAAGCTTTTAAGTAAGCTGATAGTTGATCTCCACTCTTCTAGCTCGTTCCACTAATACTGAGTATTCATCGATTCCTAAGGGTAGTAACAACTTCTTGATAGAAAATTTTAATCACGAAAAGAAACTGTAGCACTATTCTTCTGCGTTAGTGATCAACTGTGGTGCATGCCTCAATAGTGCAGTAAATTCTACTTCGTATTGTATGATCGTCTTCTTTTCTTGCCTCAACTTGAGGAACTTGTCCTGCATCTATCTTCAAGCAGATACATATACAAACCATTGTCTAAATAGCTCCACAAATTCTTTCAAACTAACCATCATGTTGGGTATGTCCCCTAAAATGTCCTAACACTGCCCACACCATCATCTTTCGGCTTCTCCATCCAGCACAAATGTTGCCAATGGTACTCTATTTTCCTCTAGACAAGTCATCCTATCTAGTATCTTCTCTATTCTCATTAGCCAATTCTTCGCTTCAACTGGGTCTTCAGTTACTTTGAACAAAGGTGAATGTAGATCTTGAAAATATCTTCAAGTATTTATCCACAACAATCATTTCCAATAAGTTGCGATCTAAACTCCTGAATCAATTGAGTCATCGCCGCCGTCATTTAGGTGAGGATATTCGTGTTCACATTTACAGTAGACTATACTTCTTTATTTTCTATTGAATTTTCTTCTATGATTTCAGGTGTATCACTATACCTGAATGGATAATTATTACTTGGAGTTAAGTTTAAAATTTTAAAATTTTCTTATAATTAGATTATTGGCTTTTTCATCAATATTCCATTAATTTATCCTAAACCTTGCACTCTGATATCACACTTGTTACAAACTGGCCTTGGGCTTGGAATTAACCAAGACATGTACAAATTGTCAGACAGAGTGATTTAAATTTTCTATATTCGTCTGCATTTTAACAGATGAAATAGTCATTACAAATTAAATTAAAGAGAAAATTAAAATTTACCTTGTTGATGGTTGTCCGCTTCTTTTATAAATATTTTCTTGTCTATCACTCATCTATTAATAATTTAATTAAACCTAAAAAATAGTTAAAACAACAACGAGCTAAGCGAACCAGTGCTATTCATACTTTTAGACTACAACAATACAAGGAAAAGAAAGAACATGTATGCTAGTTAAGTATTTTTTTATAAATCAATATAAACATTTGATATGATATTCAAAGAGAACTATATTATTATCATAACAAATATCATTTCATATTTATATAACTATCACATGAGATACTGTCTAAAAATTGTACCACTTAAAATACTTCAATATTAATATCTTTTTCTATTTATGTGCATGTGTACATTAGTGTTTCCCTACTAGTATCATTAAGGAGTGTTCCATCATAGTCAATCATGCACATACAAAAAAGTCAACATAAACATATATATTCACCACATTCAATTCAACATACTATAAAACATACATCAAATGCATGAGTAAGTAACTACGACATTCATAACGATATGACCAATAAATAAAAACAATATCTCAATTAGAATAAGACACACACAAATATCATCAACTACAAACATATTGGAGAATAAATATATTATTAATATAATTTAAAAGTATGAGTACTCACCTT